CCCTTTGGGTTACATCCTGCTGGTAATGGCGTTTGATTGTAGAAGGAACAAGTAGGACATTTCTTTTCTATTTCTTTGGCTTGTTGTCAGGTTATGGAAAAATCCTTTTTTAAACCTTTACTATTGACATGATGTTTTTTTATGAAATTCTGAGGCCTCCAGCACATTTCCTATCAATAATTTATCAATCTCATCATTGCCTTGTGCTAGAGGGCCTGGCAGACCAGTATGGGATCGGATGTGAGTTATATATAAAGGATGACTCCTTTTCCTGATTGTATCTTGTAATTGAATGAATAGTGAAGCTAATTCTGAAGCATCAGGGATAAATTCTGCAGTCTCAATATGTAATACTACTCTTTCAGCATACTGAGAGTCAGTAACTATGTTGAGAGGTTCTGAAAAATCCAATAATACCAACAGAACAGCATACAATTCTGATTTTTGAACTGAATTATAAGGACTTTGAACTACTTTATTTAAATTTTCTGATTTGTAACCTACCTTTCCTTGTTTGTTTGCATCTGTATAAAATGTACGAACTCCAGATATGGGTTTTTCCCATACAATTCGAGGCAAGATCCAATCAGCTCTCTTTATAAGATCAATTCTATCGCTTTTGGGATATTTGCTATTAATTTCTCCAAAAAAATTACTGCAAGCTCTTTGCCAAGGTTCACTTTCTGTCCATAATTTTTCAATGTCCTCCTTAGTTAAAGGTATGACAATTCCCGCTAATTGACGAAGTCTCAATTTTCCTTTCCAAATCAAGTCAGAGATTTTTTCCACATAAGTTTTTAATTTTTTATTTGGTTTATTAGGTAAAAATATCCATTCCAATATAATATCTTCCCCCTGCATTAATATTTCTGTAGGAGAATGCCTAGAAGGTAAAATAACCAAAATGCAATCCAGCTTTGGATCAATACAATCCACGTGCCCTTCATGTACTTTCTTTTCTACCAAGGCCAATTATTTCTCAGCTTCAGGTGATAATTCTCTTGGACTATTTAAGTCCTTGTCACATTCTAAGGTTTTGAACAAATTATTCAGTTCATCATTTTTTACCCCAACAATAGTTTGCAGATGAGAAATGTCTCCAAATAATCTTTGAAAGTCATTAAGAGTCTGTAGTCGATCTCTTCTAATTTGCACCTTTTGGGGTCTAACTTTTTGTAGCTCTATTTTATATCCTAAATAATTAATAGAATCTCCTCTTTGTATCTTTTCAGGAGCAATTTGTAATCCCCAGCAAGGCAAAATTTTCTTTACTTCTTCAAACATTCTTTCTAAAGTATCTGCATTTGAGTCAGCTAGTAAAATATCATCCATATAATGATAGATTATAGATTTAGGAAATTTTTTACGTATCACTTCCAATGGCTGTTGTACAAAACATTGGCACAGAGTTTGGCTATTCAACATTCCCTGTGGGAGGACCCTCCATTGAAATCTTTTAACCGGTTAAGAATTATTATAAGTAGGCACCGTGAAGGCAAATCATTCTGTCTTTTTCTTGTAAGGGTATTGAAAAGAAACAGTCTTTTAAATCAATAACTATGAGAAGCCATCCTTTTGGTAACAGAGTAGGCAAAGGAATTCCTGATTGTAGAGAGCCCATTGGCAGAATTACTTTGTTAATTGTTCTAAGGTCTGTTACCATTCTCCATTTACCAGATTTCTTTTTAATAACAAATACAAGAGAATTCCAAGGGCTGGTTGATTCTTCAATATGTTGAGCATTTAACTGTTCTTCTACCAGCTCTTCTAAAGCCTGGAGTTTTTCTGTTGTTAAAGACCATTGCTGAACCCATACAGGTTTGTCTGTTAACCATTTTAAAGGTAGAGCTGTTGATGTTTTTGGAAGATCATCAGTTGTTGTTCCCCGTTCTTGTATAATATGGATGACTGGTGACCACTCAGAATAATGACTTCTAATATTTCTCTCAGAAACATGTGCTAGTTTATGATTTGTTTCTGAGATTGGAGGGATGTTAATCTGAGTATTCCATTGTTGCAACAAGTCTCGACCCCACAGGTTCATAGCTATGTTAGCCACATATGGTTTTAATTTTCCTCTCTGTCCTTCTGGACCTATACATTCGAGCCATCTTGCACTCTGTTTCACTTGAGATAATGTTCCAATTCCTAACAGTTGAATGTTTACCTCCTGAAGAGGCCAAGTTGGATGCCAAAATTCTGGTGCAATTATAGTAACGTCCACACCTGTGTCTAGCAGACCAGACAACAAAACACCATTTATTTTTATTGTTAATTTTGGTCTTTGTTCATTAATAGAAGTTTGCCAAAAAATTTTCTTTGTGTTTTTTCCTGAATTTTCTATTCTCTCTGTTTCATCATCCCGACCAGCATGATTTATTCCAATGGTCATTTGGTTATTTAATTGCTCTGAGTAGGGGTTTCCTCTACAACTGCAGGAAAGGTTTGAACTGGATTTACTGTGGGGGCCTGCCTGAGGCCCCTCTGGGAGTTTCCCGAAGCCTGAGGCAAAGGATTACCTTGCCTGTCCCTTGTTGATCTACATTCGTTGGTCCAGTGTTTTCCCTTACCACACCTTCTGCTTACTCCAGAAGGAAGGGGCATTCTGTTGCCATTGTTCCTTGAAGAAAAGTTGTTTCTAGGAATGACCTGTTTACAGTCCCTTTTCAAATGTCCTTGCTTTCCACATCCAAAACATCTAACATTTCTCAAACCTTTTGAAATTATTTCTTCTACCCACATATCATCATGGTCATGAACCTCAACATTAACCGCGTCTCTAATCCAATCTTCCAAAGGTGCAGATCTTGCCTTTAACAGCCTGATTATTCTTTTGCATGCTGCATTCACGTTCTCAAAGGCCAAAGATTCAATTATTATCTGACTAGCTTCTGAATCCGGGACCATTCTCTTTACTGCTGAAGCCAGTCTTTGTAAAAAATCTGTGAAAGATTCTTTTGGGCCCTGTTTAACCTTTGTAAATGACTCAGTTTTCTTTCCTGGTTCCTCAACTCTGTCCCATGCATTCAAGGCGGCCATTTGACATAGAATTAAGGTTTGGATATCATGTAAACATTGTGTTTGTACTGCAGCATATTGGCCTTCTCCAACAAGCTGATCCTGGAAGACTTGTATTCCTTTATCCCTCCATTGTTTTTCTATGTTTTTAGCCTTCTCCTTGAACCACATTTGCCACTGGAGCCTTTGACTGGGTTCCAGAACAGCCTGTGCCAGCTCCCGCCAGTCCTGTGGTATAATCCTATTATATGTTGACCAGGAGTTTAACATTTGCTTTACATATAGGGAATGCATGCCATAAGATACTATTGCCTCCTTAAACCTTCGTAAATCTAACATTTCAATTGGAGCCCAAATATTTTGTGCAGTCATTTGATCAGGCAACTGCTGTACGGTTACCAGATAAATTAAGGGTGACTGTGTGAAAACAGGCTTTCTTTCTGTAACCTTATGATCCAATCTTAAAACAACTTCATTGTTAATGTCTTCTGTCTGAATTTGAATATCTCTATAATTCATTTTAACAGGTTTTTCTAAAACTGTTATCCTGGCACTTAAATTGACTATCTTTTTAAATAGTAAAATGAGGATAAGAAAAGTAATGAAGTGCATAATTCGATCAATATTAATCTTCTCATATAGTTGTTCCATTGTCAGACTGCCTAAAATTTCAAACAAAGCCCAATTTTCTTCCAATGTACACATAAAACCCATTTTTTTTAATGTGGAAAAAAATTTTCTCTTTTAAATAGTTTCCTTTAACATATCTGATATTTTAATTGACTTACCAAGTCTGCGTAGAACAGTAGAAATCCGAGGGAATTTCAAAACAGCCACCTAGTATCCGAGGTGTGAATCCAGAGAGAGAGAGAGAGAGAGAGAGAGAGAGAGAGAGAGAGAGAGAGAGAGAGAGAGAGCAAGAAAGCGTAGCCACAAGTTCTGGCTAAAAGCTTAAATCCAGCCACATGTTCCCGCTTGAGCTGAGTCAAGCCTGGGCTCCGGCTTCCTTAAGCTCCGACCACGTGCGTTGGCTTTACAGGCAGGGGCCCTGTTTGGCAGAGCTGGCCTGAGTTGTTTGTAGCACCGGCTTTAAGCAAGTAGCTCTAGCTGCAGCTAACCGCTTGGGGCTACGGTCAGTCTGGCCTGAGACCAAGCCGACCTGGGCCCGAGCTAGGGAGCCGGGCCGCCCAGGCGGGAAACCAGACCTGTGGCCAACCCAAGCCAAGTGGTTTTTAATGGATTCTTGTCACGTTGGGTACCAAATGTAGAAGTAACCAACCATCTTATTAAATAAGAAACACAGAGCCAATACAGAGATAAAAGCCAAGAGGTCAGAGCAATAGCTAAGAGCTAAAAACCTTACCCTTCACTATCGCTGTGGTCCTACCTCTCTGAAAGAGAGCTACTTCCTGTGTATCTGTCTTTATAAAGACTTTCTGTTCTGCCTTCTCATTGGTTGTAAACCCAACCACATGACCGCCTCATCACTGCCTGTCTGTACAGACCTCCAGGTCTTCTATGGTTGGTATTGAGATTAAAGGCGTGTGTCTCCAATGCTGGATGTATCCTTGAACACACAGAGATCTACCTTGCTCTGCCTACCAAGTGCTGGGATTAAAGCCTTGCACCACCACCGCCCAGCTTCTCCGATGGCTTGCTATTAGCTCTGACCCCCAGGCAACTTTATTTATTAACATACAAATAAAATCACATTTCAGTACAAATATAATATCACCATAAGCAGCTTTTTGGGTTGGTTTTTTTTTTTTGTGTGTGTGTGTGTGTGTGTGTGTGTGTGTGTGTGTGTGTGTAGCCCTGGCTGTCCTGGAACTCACTCTGTAAACCAGGCTAGCCTCAAAGAGATCCATTTATTTGCCTCTGCCTCCTGAGTACTGGGATTAATGTATGCCACCATGCCCAGCAATAATTGTTTTTTGTGGGTTGTTTTGTTTTGTTTGTTTTTTTGTTTTTTTTTGGGGGGGGGTCATACAGTAACAAACACCTCCCACTCTGCTGAGGTCCCTGTCCTTGAGTTTTGGTTGCAGCTTGGCCTACAAAGTGGAGCCACATCTGTAACAGGTGATGAAAAGGGAATTCTGTAATGCAGCCTGAGATACACTGATCTAGATAAAATGAAAACTTTTCTCTTGTTCTTTTGATAATCATTGTGATCCAAGCAAACACAGTACTCATGGCTTGTTTGACGACAGCATCTTCTTTATGTGCCATGAAGCACTAGCACTCTGCAAAACACTTTTAGACATTTTGGGTAAATAAACCCCTGTGACGGTGCACATCGGTAACCGTAGCACTTGGCAGGTAGAAGCAAGAGGGTCGGATCAGGAGTTCAAGGACATCCTCAGCTACACGGTTAAGTCTGAGGCAGGTCTGGAATACATGATACCTTTTGTGTGCTGTCCCTACCCCGGAAAAAAAGGAGGATGGGGAGCGGATGAGGAAAAGAAACTAGGACAGAAAGTAATACCTTCTGTATTAACTCCCTATTGCCAATACAAAATAAATGTAACTTCAAATCCATCACTTCTTTGACCACTGACAACTAGAATTTTTTTTCTTTTTTTCTTTTTTTTTTTTTTTTTTTGGTTTTTTGAGACAGCGTTTCTCTGTGTAGCTTTGTGCCTTTCCTGGAACTCACTTGGTAGCCCAGGCTGGCCTCAAACTCACAGAGATCCGCCTGGCTCTGCCTCCCAAGTGCTGGGATTAAAGGTGTGTGCCACCACTGCCCAGTCAACTAGAATTTTCTAATAAAGAATTTTTCATTGGTATTTGGTTGTTATGAAATGAGAGGATAAATATTTCATTCTTCATTTATCAATAGTGCCCTACTATGATCCATAGCTGATCAATTCATTTGATAAGAGGCAGAAAAACAAGGCAGAGGAAAATGCTCTTCAATGGTCATGACAGTGGTCATAACCAAAGGACACAGGTGTCAGTCAGAATTAGGGGATTCTCACTAGCTAAAAATAGGATAACTTGGTACATTAAAAAATGCTACAATGCAGTGATTTTTTTTAAAAAAATGGGGATATTATTGATTATTAGTTTCTTTTTATGTTGTCTTTATTAAACATTGACCAGGAATACAGAATATAGACTATTAATACGAGCAAATTCTAAAGAATTTCACACTATGAATAGTCTAATGAGTGGACAAGGGAGATATTCAGTGAGAGGCCCTGAGTTCAGTCCTCAGCACCACACCACCACAAAACAAACACAAACACACGCACATATACACATTGGAAGTGATGATGCACACCTGAGGTAGGAGGACTTGAAGTTCAAGGGTCTAGTCTGGGTCACATTGTAGGACTGCATAAAACAACAAAACCAAACAGTTAACAAGAATCAGATCTCTAAAGTTCAATGAGGGATAAATGTTGGAAGGCATTCTATGTTCATCACACTTGCAGTCTTTCATAAGAATTCTCAGAAGAGTAATAGTAAGTCACTGTAACAAATTTAGTGGCTTTAAATAATGACCATTGTATTATTTTATGAGTATGTGGCCAGTTGATTCTTCTGTATGGTGCCAACTGAGGTCACTTAGTGGCATTCAGTTGGTGGCTGGTCTGGAAGATCCAAAACCATTCCTACCCAATGTCTAGTATCATATGGTCATATCCAGAAGTCTGGCTTCAGCAAAGGTCTCTGCCTGTGTGGTCTCAGGGCCTCTTCACATGGTCTCTTCAGTCAGATTTTCAAATATGACAGTTGAGCTTGAGAGAATATTCTGAAATGGAGCAACCCTAGGAGTAGAGTAGAGCCTGGGCCCCGACAGCAGTACAAACATGATTCCACTATGTTCTCCTGAGCAAACTGGCATCTGCCCATATTCCAAGAAAAGGATGAGGACTGCACAACTTGATGGAGTTTTGAAGACCTTGCAGCTATTTTTGCCAGTTCTATATCATCACTTCACAAATGAAAAAAATCTACAGCCCAGAGCAACTGATTGTTTTAATATAACTAGAATGATAGAATTGAGGTGTTATTTTCCCCCACGTTTGTTTATATGTAGGACTGACTGTAGAATAAGTATGTTGAAGCATTACAGTGTGAACAGACTGGAACACAATGAAACACATTAAATTAACACATTCCTTTAATGGTATAAAACCTCTTATGCCAGATCAGTTACATGTATGAGCAAAAGAGATCAGATGTAACATTCATAGAATGTTCTATAAGACTGTTGAGACTTTGTTATACTTTGACACTATGAATCTTCAGATGATGGGTGAGGTGTGAGTGCTGTCTAAAGGCCTTCTTACATTCTTTACACTCATAGGGTTTCTCACCAGAATGAATTCTCAGATGTTGGATAAGAGACGAATTAAGTCGAAAGACCTTCCTACATTCCTTACACTCAAAGGGCTTTTCACCAGTATGAATGCTCTGGTGTAGAGTAAGTTTCTGACGCAACCTAAAAGACTTTCCACATTCCTTACATGTATAGGGCTTCTCGCCAGCATGAATACTCTGATGCTGTGTGAGCTGTGAGAGTAGTCTGAAGGCTTTCCCACATTCTTTACAGTCATAGGGTTTAACACCAATATGAATACTCTGATGTGAAATAAGCTGTGAGTATCGACTGAACGCCTTCCAGCACTCCTTGCATTCATAAGGCTTTTCACCCGTGTGTATTCTGTGATGGAGAATAAGATGATAGCCCCGACTAAAGGTTTTCCCACATTCATTACATTCATAGGGCTTCTCACCAGTATGAATTCTCTGATGCAGTGTTAGTTGTTGTCGAACTCTAAAGGACTTCCCACAGTCCTTACATTCGTAAGGCTTCTCACCAGTATGAAGTTTGTAATGTACTCTAAGGCCAGAGCCACATAAAAAGTCTTTCCCACACTCTTTACACTCATAGAGTCTGTCAGCGATGTTAAGTTTCTGATGTCGAGTAAGGTGTGCATACTGCCTGAAGGCCTTCCCACATTCTTTACACACATAGGGCTTCTCACCAGTGTGGATCCTCTGATGGAGAGTAAGTTGTCCCCGAACCCTGAAGGCTTTCCCACATTCTTTACATGCGTAGGGCTTTTCACTGGGATGAATTTTTTGATGTGCTCTAAGGTCTGGGCCATATATGAATGCTTCCCCACACTCCTTACACTCATACAGTTTTTCACCAGAATGAAGTCTCTGATGTCTGGTAAGGTGTGCAGTCTGCCTAAAAGCCATCCCACATTCCTTACATTCATAGGGTTTCTCACCAGTATGAATTCTATGATGAAAAGTAAGCTGTTGGCGGACTCTAAATGCCTTCCCACATTCATTACATTCATAAGGTTTCTCCACAAAATGAATTCTCTGACGTGGAGTAGCAGATGTGCGCTTTTGGTAAGAAGACATTTTTTCAGATGTGATTTTCATTTGTCTGATATATCCCTCCTGAGATCCCTCTTGGCTTTCATGTTTTCTTTTGGACTCCCATTCACTTTTTAAAATAAGGCCCTTCAGACTACTGTTCCCAATTTTTTCCATTATCTTCCATTGGGATAAATTCATTTCATAAATGCCATTTTCTGAGGATAACTGATTGGTCTCATCCTTAGTTTCCAAATCTGCAAGAAAGAAAGCAGACACACGTTATTTTCTTTTTCTCAAGAAGTAAACTTTCTACAGTAAAAATAGAAGACAAAGAAGGTAACGTTCAATCAAACTCAAATTAGTGTCATATAATTTGGGGGGCAAAAGGGAATACTAGGAAAATGAGAGTTCATATAAGGAAAGGGAGTGGTAACTAATTAAACATTATTTATCACGGGTTCATGAACTGAGGTATGGATCAGAATTGCTGGGTGGCTTATTATAAACACTGTTTAAAGCTGGGTGTAGTGGCAGACATCTTTAATCCCAACACTCGGGAGGAAGAGAGAGGTGAAACTGTGAGTTTGTGACCAGCCTGATCTACATAGTGAGTTCTAGGACAGCCAGGGCTACATAGTGAGAACCTGTCTCAAAAAACAAAAACAAACAAACAAAAAATCCCAATACTGTTTAAATACTACCAAAACCACCTGGATAAGACTATAATTTTTTTCCCCAATTTTTATGTGTTTTTGTGTTTGTATGTGTGACGTGCACTTGTATGTAGATACATGTTTTGCACATGTATAGGTACATATGGGGGGCATGTGGAGGCCTAAGGTTGATGTCAGGGATCATCCTCAACTTACCATCCATCTTATTCATTGAGTATTGGGTCTTTCTTTTTTTTTTTTTTTTTTTTTGGTTTTTCGAGACAGGGTTTCTCTGTGTAGCTTTGCGCCTTTCCTGGAACTCACTTGGTAGTCCAGGCTGGGCTCGAACTCACAGAGATCCGCCTGGCTCTGCCTCCCGAGTGCTGGGATTAAAGGCGTGCGCCACCACCGCCCGGCGAGTATTGGGTCTTTCAACCAAACCCAGAGCTCGCCAATATGGCCAGTCTTGCTAGCTAGCTTGCTGTAGGGCAGTGGTTCTCAACATGTGAGTCAAGACTCCTTGGGAGGGGTCACATATCAGATATCCTGCATATCAGATATTTACATTTGATCCATAACAGTAGTAAAATTATAGTTATGAAGTAGCAATGAAAATAATTTTATGTTGGGGGTCACCACAACAAAAGGAACTGTATTCAAGGGTCCCAGCATTAGGAAGGTTGAGGACCACCGCTCTAGGTAACATGCTATTCAAGCCTCAGTTTTTCCTTACCTGAAAGGCTCTTTAAAGTCAGACACAATCTTAACTTACTCGCTACTAAATGGTAAGTTCATAGCATAATAGAATTTGACTTATTTATTTATCACAGCTCCTACTTGTTTTAAGTATATCTTTTTGCCTCTAATCTCTCATAGTTTACTGCAGATGGTTAAATATTCTCTTCATGCATCTAAGCATGCACAGTCAAACACACACATGGGACAGGGAGATCATTCTTATGCCTTCCCCACTTTACATCTGCCCTTATGTCCATTCTTTTCCTTTCCTTGTGGTACTTAAGGTTGGACCCAGGGCCTCACCAACACTAGGCAAACCATAGTTCAAAAGGCTTCTTATGTGGGTGGTAGTGGTGCATACCTTTAATCCCAGCACTCTGGGCAGAGGCAGGTGGATCTCTATGAGTTCGAGGCCAGCCTGGTCTACAAAGCGAGCTACAGGACAGTCAAGGCAACACAGAGAACCCTGTCTTAAATCAAATCAAAACAGGCTCCTTCTATTGTTATTTAGGCTGGGTTCTCTTCAGTGTCCGTTTCCTGTCACTTTTCCTCATTCATTATATCACAGCTGCTTTGTTCCTTCCTCCCCTTGCTCTGGTCTTCTCTGTTTCATTCCCTCATTAGAGAGACTTCTCCTGGATTTTCTGAGATTACCCATTACTGAATTTCCAGACCATGAAACAGGTGTACATCTTACTGAAATGCTTAGAATTCTTAGGGGATGATGTCACTAGGTAATGGAGGCAAAAGCTCTTGCACATATCTGAACGTGAAGGTGTAGAACCTGCAGAGCAGAGGACAGCAAGCCAAGAGGAGTCGTCAGAGAAAAATGCTGTGCAGAATGACCCTCGTGAAAGAGGATGGGATTTTCAATTATTGCAATTGTGGTCTGTGCAAAAAGTTGAAATCATATAGGTATTTTGTACTGAACTAGAAATAATGAAAATAGAAAATCTATTTAAAAATTTAAAAATATGAACTATATAACTTTTATGTCAATAGAAAAAAAGATTTAAAATAGTATCTAGTATCATTGTTTTTTAGAAACAAAAAGGTAAAAAGAAAATTACAATGGTGGGTGAGGATCCACAGGCCTGTGACCCCAGCACTCCTGAGGTTGAGACAAGAGAATTGCAAATGGAAGTGCAGAGTGGGCACTTCAGCAAGACCCTATCTCAAAATACAGTGTATAAAGGGACCAAGGACATATCTTTGCAGCTTTGTGGTAGAGTGCTTGCCAAGGTGTGAAGTCCTAAGTTCCACACAGCACTAAAAGCAAACAAACAAAACAAAAATAAACAAAATGGAGAACAAACATAGAAATAACAAATGGCAACGTACTGGGTGTACATCTATATAGAAATATATTATAATTTATAACACTAGCACTTGGGAAACTGAGGCAAGAGGGCTCACAGAGACTGTCTCAAACAAACAAAAATATATAAATAAAAAGGAAACAAGAAGCTGGGCAGTATTGGCACACGTCTTTAATCTCAGCACTTGAAGGCAGAGGCAGGTGGATCTCTGAGGCCAGCCTGGTCTACAGAGCAAGTTCCAGCCTGGTCTACAGAGCAAGTTCCAGGACAGCCAGGACTATACAAACCATGTCTTGGGAAAGAAAAAGAAAAAAAGGAAACAACAATGTGAAAATGATGAGTACAGAGCATTCTTAGAAAAAAAAATGAGTGGCAATAAATTTAAATTAAAAAAATGTAGCATAACTAAAATGGGTATTTTTCTGGGAAAATACAATTGACCACCAAGGATATATATATATTTAACAGAACAATTTTTGTTTGGCTGTTTCATTTGGCTTTTTTTTTTTTGGTTTTGGTTTTTCGAGACAGGGTTTCTCTGTGTAGCTTTGCGCCTTTCCTGGAACTCACTTGGTAGCCCAGGCTGGCCTCGAACTCACAGAGATCCGCCTGGCTCTGCCTCCCGAGTGCTGGGATTAAAGGCATGTGCCCGGCCTGGTTTGGCTTTTTTGAGACAGAGTCTCATGTAGCTGCAGCTGGCCTCAAACTTCTCATCCTCCTGCCTCAACCTGGTAAGTAGGATTAGAGGCCTGCACCACCATGCCTGGCTAAAACAGATCAATTTCCATAGAACAAATAGAGAATGTGATCAGATTTGCTATACTGCAAGAAAAAAATGCTTTTCAAAGCACACAAAAGCTTTAGAAAGAGTTCATCTAAACTTAGCTGAGAACTAAGAACTTCTAAAGTGGCTCATGACATGCTACTTCAATAAAGGTGGCTTACAGAGAACACACTGCCCTGAACATGCTGCCTTGGCTCACAGATGATTTTACACGGAAGATCTGTGACTCAACAGATGCAACGGAGGCCTTCCTGGAGCTTCCCTAACCCCCTAACACAGGCACTGCAGAGACAGAGCACCATAATGCCTTTCCTTCAGCAGTTTTGGTCGTGAACTGACCAAGTAGCAGCAGAGGCCGCACAACCCTTCCTAAAACCACCTTTCTCTTCCATTCTTCTCCCTCAGGTCTGCAGCCCCCACCTAAAGCCCCCTCCATTTTATCGGTCATTGTTTAAATTGGCACAGAGGGGCTGGAGAGATGGCTCAGCAGTTAGGAACATCTGCTGTTCCTGAAGAGGACCCGAGGTCCATTGCCAGCACTCACATGGTGGCTCACAAACATCTGCACTCCAGTTCCAGGAGATACAATGTCCTCTTCTGGCCCCTATGGGTACCAGGCATACATGTATGTGGTGCACAGCCAAACATGCAGATAAGACCCTAATCCACACGTAATCCTAATCCAATACATACACCCAGGTCTGAAATCTGGAACACGTCTTCTCGCAAGCATTTTGAATAAGGGTTATTCAACCTATGTTAATATTCATCATAGGCTTCTTCAGAAAGTGACTAAAATTGATTATCAAAGTACAGTTCCTCGTATGTCAGGTTGTATTATTTCCAGACCCTTTTGGACTCTCAGATTTTGGGTTACCAGAATAGGAGTGCTGTGTTTGCACAGAATATTATCCTTATGGTCTTATTTCACTGAGAAAAACAACATTAAAAATATGGCATCGTCTCTCCACCACCCCAACAAATCTATAGACTGCTATGCTCCCAACCATGATGACCGTGGACTCACCCTTTGAAACTGTCTGTACCAATCAACTCTTTTCTAAGTTGCCTTGGTGACTGTGTCTGCACAGCCATAGAAAAGTAGTTAAGACAGAACCTGACGCCCTCTCCTGACTCCTTTGAGCATCAGGCATACACATACATGCAGGTGAAACACTCATATACATTTAAAAAATAAATAACTCCTTTAAAAATTAAATTTTGTGAGGAAAGGTGGCCATAGTGTTAAAAGCTTTCCTGGGCTGATGATGTAGCTACAAAGTAGATCACTTGCCTCGAGCAAGGTAGCAGGCTCCTCTACAAACATGGCAAACCTTTCCTAGGACCCCGCACTCTTCCCTCTGCTGACTCTTCACAGCTCTCTATTACTTCCTGCCATTCTATTTTCAACTTTTTTATAGCAACTGGGCTTCTCTAATTACAAGGCAAATCCTGAGGGACATGTCTGTTTACCGCTGTACTGACAGCCCCTATCCCGGTGCTCAGCTCAAAGTCCATCCAGCTAGTGCGCCTCTTTTTCAGCTAGTTGGGTGTGTCCCCAGCCTGACAGAGCCTCACTTACCTGGGTTTCGTCTTCTCCTCCTCACAACCTTCCAGGGCTCCTTCCCTTGCTCCAGCAAGGAAATCACATCTGGTTTAGAAATGAAGTAGCCTATTTAGAAGAAAAGAAATATGAGGCAATGAGGAAATGAAGTCAAGTTTTCTTTGGTTCATTTTAGTGAAGTCTGTTACAGATCAGAGGAAGGGGAGAGAACTCTTGTATGGCAGGAGGCCGGCTATTTCTATGCTTCATTCTCTCTATCTGTAAAACAGCAATAGTAAGAGTGTCTACTACAAGGGCTGGAGAGATGGCCCAGGGGTCGAGAGCACATACTGCTCTTGCAGAGGGCCTGAGTTCAGTTCCCAGCACCCACAACTCACATCAGCCTGTACCTCCAGCTCCAGGGGAATCTGCCACCCTCTTCTGGCCTCCTTAGGTACTGAATTTACATGCACATTCCAAAACACCTAAACACATACACATACAGAAAAATAAATCATTAAAAAATTGTCTGTTACAGCTGAGTGTGGTGACTCATGTCTGTAATCCCTGCACTTGAGTGGTTGAGGCAGAGATGCTATTTCAATAATAACAATAATAATAATAATAGCCGAGCATGGTGGTGCACCTTTAATCCCAGCACTCAGAAAGCAGAGGCAGGTAGATCTCTAAGTTTAAAGCCAGCCTGGTCTATAAAGCAAGTTCCAGTAAAGCCAGGGCTGTTACACAGAGAAACTCTGTCTCAAAAAAACAAAAAATAAATAAAATAATAATAAAAATGTCTATTTTATGAAACTATCTAAGCACTACCTAGTTGAACTATATGTATTTCATTAGCTATTAATATTCTTACTTTACTGAGAGGAAAACAATTAGTTTCCCAAGAGACGCTTACTGTACTTCTTTTTGTCCCTCTGTGTGGGTATTTGTATGTTTGTTGTGTTAGGTGGGTATGGTGTGGTATATACACTGGTTGGTATGGATATGTGCACATGTGCAGGTGGGGACCAGAGATTGGCACCAATTGTCTTTCTTCAACGGCTCTCCATCTTATCTGTGTGTGTGTGTGTGTGTGTGTGTGTGTGTGTGTGTGTGTGTGTGTGTGTGTCATACATGTGTAAGTGCAGGCATGACAATGACAAGCTGTGTGTGTGCTCAGAGCACAACTTTCAGGAATCAGTTCTCTCCTTTCACCTGGACGAGGCAGGCTCTCTCTTGTCTGTGCTACGCTGCATACTCTAGGCTGGTTGACAAGCTTCTGGGTGATCCTCCTGTCTCCACCTCCCATCTCACCAAAGGAGGGAACACAGACTCATACCACTACATCCCATTTTGTTATATAAAATCCAGGAACTAAACTCAGGTTGTTGGGTTTATGTTTCTACTGGTTCTAACCACTGAGCAATCTTTTTGGCCTTCTAACTTATTTTTTGAAATAAGGTCCTTCATTAAACTCAAATATCACTGATTTGGCTAGGCTGACTGGCCAATGAGCTTCAGGGACCTACCTATCTCTGCCCTGACCCAAGACCCAGGATTACAGAAATGTAAGACCATCACGGTCTTTCACATGGGTTCTGAGGATCTGAACTTGGGTACTTATTCTCGATGTACACTTGTCCAGTTGAACCATCATCCCCAATCTCACTTACTACCTTTCTTACGATATTCTTAGATTTTTAAATTTTAGCGATAAAAGTTTGTGGTGATATTTTGTTTTACTCTAATAAAATTTGTCTGAAGGTCAGAGGACAGAGTCAGCCACTAGATTAAACATACAGGCCAGGCAGTGGTGGCACACACCTTTAATCCTAGCACTCAGCAGGCAGAGATCCATGTGGAGCTCTGTGAGTTCAAGGCCACACTGGGCTATACGAGATTGATCCAGTCTAGGAGAGAAACAGAGCCAGGCAGTGATGGCACAAACCTTTAACCCCAGTATTTGGGAAGCACACAGGCCATTAATACCAGCTCTAGGAGGGTTGAGATAGGAGGTGAAATGTCTGGGCAGAAAAAGGCATATAAGGCATGAGGAGACAGGAACTCAAGAGCCTTTCGGCTGAGGACTCAGAGACAATCAGTCTGAGGATTTGTAGAGACAGGATCAGCTGAGGAGTTGGCGAGGTGAGAAGTGGCTGTGGCTTGTTTCCTCTGACCTTTCAGCATTTACCCCGATATCTGGCTCTGGGTTTTTATTATAAGACCATTTAGGACATCGGGCACAACATCTGGTGCCCAACTTTTGGGGCACAAATTCATGAAAAAGCCACTTGCCTGTGGCTTTGCAGCCACCGGCTGAGACAGAGCTGCATGTGGCTGGAGTCTCCACCCCACCCAGCAGAGTTGGCAGTGAGCATGGCTGCTAGAGCTCGCTGTAAATGTACCTCTGCTATGTTGGGAAACCAAACAGGGCAGAGTCAACAGCCAAAGCTGCCACATAGCTTAGTAGTTTAATAGCTTAGCAGTTTAAAATCTCTCCTGGTCAGAAAAGGATTATCGGTACACAATAAAACAGTTTCAGGGCCGGGCGGTGGTGGCGCACGCCTTTAATCCCAGCACTCGGGAGGCAGAGCCAGGCGGATCTCTGTGAGTTCAAGGCCAGCTTGGGCTACCAAGCGAGTCCCAGGAAAGGTGCAAAGCTACACAGAGAAACCCTGTCTCGAAAAAACAAAAAAAAAATCAAAAAAAAAAACAGTTTCAGATGGAATAAACCTCTAAACAGTTTACAGTGTGTGCAAAAATGTGTGTAGGCTTAGAAGAGAGAGAGAGGAAAATGAGTATAGGTAGTTACAAAAATGTTTTAAAAAATAAAGTCTTTAAAAAGACGGTAAAAATAACAGTTAAGCCATGTAAGGGTGGAAATTACACAAAGAATCTGGATACTGCATATTATTATATTGTTTTTTGGGATTTAATTTTAGGGGCTACTAAGTTAAGCCAATATGTATATTTTAAAGGCATCTTGACTTCAAAATTTGTGTCTAAGGATACGCTGCTTTGGAAAAGAGGTTCTGCTTTTGTTTCCACAGAAGATGAGAACCTGTGGATTGCTTCCAGGCTAATATGGTTTGATCAACCAAGACCTCCTGAAAGGTCTCCAATGACAACCACGGCTTAGATGATCCAACATCCAAAACAGTTTCAAAGCACCTGGCTAAGACTATCCAGCCTCACAGACTACTACAGCCAAGATTTAACTATAATTCTTAATTTTCTCAGGATCCCCATAAGATTGTCAGCGCCCCAGTCAGCAGGAAGTAGTAGGAGAAGCTATGCCCAGATTCCCAAAACATTGTGTATGAATGCTATTTTTATTTAGAGTGGGTTGATTATAAATGCAACCTCTTTCTAAAGAAGAAAAGGGGATATAGACATGACAGGATGAAAGGATAGATTATTGAATCTGCTTTTAAAGAGCAACAACTCGTTCGAAATATTTTACATTGCTATAGATTTTAGTTCATTGATACAAATTTAAAGTTAATTTTGTTATATTATATATATATTTTTACTCTTGTTTAAGGTATTATGTTTATATAACTCATTTAAAATGTAATGTACAGTTAAAAAATACGAGTTAATAGTCAGATTTATAATCATGTTAGTTAAGTTTTTTTAGATGTACAAAGGTATATTTCAATTAGGTAGGTAATCTTTAAACACTTCAAAGACATCCAGAATATGGTATTTAAAATATTTAAGAACTTAGACTTTCTGGACATTGAGACATGTCTGCTGCTGGCAGCACCAATCTACTTCAGAAAACATGATGGGCATTGAAGAAACTCCTTGTGGAGTTTGCTTTCTTTGTGGCAAAAGTTAGCCATTTGGACAAGAAACTGCTCTTGCTTGGACTGCTTGATGGTATGTTGTATAGCCTGGATATGCAGAACCATGGGAAAATGACCACTGAACTTTGCCAAAATAGAGTGAGATGGTCCTCAAGGTTCCTGCTTCACAGAGGAGACTGCCAGACATTCTGCAGGACACAGGGAGAAGCAACTGATGAACTTTGCCAATAGATGAAACAATCCTTCAAATTTCCTGCTTCACTAAAAAGTATGCCAGAGACTCTAGGCCTGTAGGCTGAGGATGGATGCCCCAACGTTGCAGAGGAGGCTGGGGTGACTGTCCAGGCAGCCAGATGTCTCTGTCATTTCTAGAATTTTGGAAGTTGCTTACAATGCACTTCCTGTAAAATATGCTTACAATGCACTTAGGTAATATATCCTCCTGGGGTCTTGGATGTAGTTGAAGACTAGATAGTCATAATTATAGTTTTCCTTAGTCATGATAAAAGATAAATTAGATATAAACCTTTAGAGTCACAAAAATAGGATAGATAAAGTATTTTCTTTAATTTTGCCAAATAAAAATAGACTAGATAATTACAACTGTAATTCTTGCTTGATAACTGTTTTGTTATATGTAATTTTACTATGTTAAAATTAAAACCTTCCTTTTTGATTAGACAGAAAAGGAGAGTGCTGAGGGATGTCTTTCTGTACACTGTGAACATGTGTTGCTCTCATTGGTTGATAAATAAAGCTGCTTGGCCAATGGCAAGGCAGAATAAGGTTAGGTGGGTACACTCAAACTGAAGATGGAGATGAAGAAGGGTAGAGTCGGGAAAGACTCGATCCAGCCACCCAAGAAGGAAAATGTGAAAGTACCGGTAAGCCTGACGACCCAAGTTCAGTCCCCAGGACCCACATGTTGGAAGGGAGAATCCACTCCCGCAAGTACTTGCCGGGAACAGACGCGAGTGCTATTTGCACTGTGTATGGCCATGGGAGCACACTAGTGACTCTCCTTACCAGAAAACAAGTCTTGCTGCTAGGACCAGAAACTGCATGTGATTCAACTCCGTTTATGAAGGGGAAACAAACCCTAGCTCGCCTTACAAGAGACACACTCTGCTTTTGAGAAAGGACCACTCTTCTACTCTACTGTGTTTCCTATAGGGCCAGAACAGTGAGCTTGCTCAGAACAAAAGAACTGTGCTTCCTACACACATGGGCCATATTTAGCAAAAAGCCTGAGCCACAGGCCATACAGTTTGTAATTAATATAGACTCTATGTAATTATTTTATAAGCAGCTGTGGACCGCAAGTGGGAGAGATTTGTCTGGACCACAGAGCCAGGTGGAACCGAGAAAGTTTCGCCTACCAAAGTTGGTAAAACTGATGGTTCATTAACAAAGGTAATGAAATGGGTTACCTTGAGCTGGAAATAACTCCTGGCGACTTCACACACTACTATATAAACTATATATGTTCTTCTGCTAGAGAAAAACTAAGAAACAAGGCATAGCTATTCTCCTTATAGGTATACCAACAATATAATGTATAAAGCGATGTGGAGTTCAAAAACAAAGTAACGGCCAGTGGGATGGTTCAGCGGGTAAAGGCATTTGCCCTCAAGCCTGACGACCCAAGTTCAGTCCCCAGGACCCACATGTTGGAAGGGAGAATCCACTCCCGCAAGTTGTCCTCTGACCTCCACATGTCACTGCACAAGCATGGCCCCCTCCTCATGTGCATAAACAAAAAATAAATAGTCATCTAAAAAGCAAAACGTCTTCTTTGATATTGATAAGGCTACATTTAAGTCTAGTCACTAAAGTAGCTCATATCTGCAATCCCACGGCTCAAGAGGCTGAGGCAGGAGGAAGCTGGAGAGCTGCAAACCAACCTGGCCTATAAAATATGACCACATCTCAAACGAATAAGTAAACATTTGTAAAAAGTTCTGTCACTATAAAGGGCCCAAAGGTCCCTTAAGTATGGGGAAAGTGAATATATTTAATGAAAGTACTTACTCCTGAACAAATGTTCAAACCATCTCCTTAAAAACAACATAAGGCAGGTGGGAGGGCACGGGGTGAGGGCACTGCTGCCAACCTAAGTTCATTCCCAGAGACAGTGGAAGAAGAGCCCGTTTTCAAATGTTGTCCTCTGACCTCCACATGCGTACTACAGCATGTGCACGCCCCTCCCCCACAACATACACACTACATAAGTAAACAAGTAAATGAATGCAAAAGAAAATTCAGCGGTTTCTGGGAAATTTCCAGAGAGAATGGATGTTAGAGAATACCATCCAAATGGCTGAAGAGATAGCTTACCTAGTGAGGCCCCATTGTGGTAGTTCTCCATCATCACGTCTTTGTACAAATCCCTCTGAGACAGGTCCAGGTACTCCCACTCTTCCCGAGAGAAGGCTATGGATACATCACTGAACATCACTGATACCTGAACGACAGACCAGATGACACAACTAAACAGACAAAAAGCATTTAAAGCCCAAAGAGAAAATATGGAAGAGATACTGAGAGAAGTGGGCATTTGCTTGTTTTGAGACAAATTTTCCCTATGGAATGCACTCACTGTGTAGCCCAGACTGGCCTCATAGAGATCCACCTGCCTCTGCCTCCCAAGTGTTGGTATTAAAAGCGTGATCCACCACAGCTCAGAAGCGGGCCATTATAGCAAACAGGCTTGAGCTAGAAGGTTATCAGAGGGAGATGAGGGTCCTAAAGCAAGGCGCGTATGTGCTCTAGGAGGGTCCTGCTGCTATTTTCCCACTCCCCTGGCCCGCCCCCAACTTCCATCTTCTCTGTTATGAACCATCACTTTCGGCTGCTACATACTCTGACATACTTTAATCATCCAAACATGCCGGAAAAGCAAACACGACAGAGCTAACGAGAGTGTGCTGCTTGGTTTTGTCACTTTGACACAAGCTAGAGTCATCTGGGAAGAGAACCTAAACTAAGAAACTGCCTCCATCACACTGGCCTGTGAGCATGTCTGCAGAATGTTTTCTTGAATGATGTGGGGGATCACACTGGCCTGTGAGCATGTCTGCAGAATGCTTTCTTGATTGATGTGGGGGTTCACACTAGCCTGTGAGCACGTCTGCAGAATGTTTTCTTGATTGATGTGGGGGTTCACACTGGTCTGTGAGCATGTCTGCAGAATGTTTTCTTGATTGATGTGGGGGTTCACACTGGTCTGTGAGCATGTCTGCAGAATGTTTTCTTGATTGATGTGGGGGTTCACACTGGCCTGTGAGCATGTCTGCAGAATGTTTTCTTGATTAATGTGGGGGCACCCACTGTGGGTGGTGCAGCTCTGGTCAGGTGGTCCTGGGTTGTTGTATAAGAAAGACAGCCTTTAATCCCAGCACTCAGGAGGCAGAGGCAGGAGGATCTCTGTGAGTTCAAGGCCAGCCTGGTCTACAGAGCAAGTTCCAAGACAGCCAGGGCTACACAGAGAAACCCTGTCTCGAAAAAACAAAAAACAAAACAAAAAACAGCTGAGCAAGCCAGGAAGAGTAAGCTAGTGAGCAGTGTTCCTCCCTAGTCTCCGCTTCCTTCCTGCCTGAGGTTCCTGCCTTGAGTTCCTGTCCTGACTTTCCTTCATGATGGACAAGAAGCTGCAAGATGAAATAAATAAATAAGCCCGTTCCTCCCTGTGCTTCTTTTTGGTCATGTGATAAACACACTGCAGGCGGGGAGTCAAGAGTGAGAGACTAGGGGAAGAGACAACAGTACCGTAATGAGTGAGGCAGGAGGACCATGAATGTAAGGCCAGCCTGGGCTACAAACCAATAACTCTGTGTGTATGTGTGTGTGTGTGTGTGTGTGTGTGTGTGTGTGTTCGCGCGTGCGTGTCTCTTTGCATGCACGAATGTGGAGGTGAGAGGACAACTTTGTGGAGTCAGTTCTGCCTCCCACTTTGTGGGTCACCGGAGTCGATCTCAGGTCACTAGGTCAATGTCACCCTGCAGTGAGGACCTTTGGCCCACTGAGCTGCTTCACTGACTCCATTTTTTTAGATTCTGTTTTAGAGACAGAATTTGTAGTCTGGATCACCTGGGACTAGCAGCCATCCCACTGCCTCAATCTCTTGAGGCCGGGGTTAAAGGTGTCATTGTCCCTAGCTCCAGTATTGTCTTCCAGAAAAATCAGGGATTGGGAATCGGCTCAGTGGGTAACTAAACAAGCACGAGGCCCTGAGTTCAGACTCAAGCGACCACACACAAGCTGAGAAATGGAGGTCATATGTGGTAACCCTAGCATAACCTGTTACTGCAAATGTAGCCCTGCTCATGATAGGGATTCCTAGTGAAGATCCTAAATCTCTCTGAAAGCAAGTTTCAGACACTTCCCTACCCAATCCTAAATCTACAAGATCTCACCATATCTTAGCTGAAGCCAAACAATAGCACATTTATTTGTTTGTTGGTTGGTTTTTCAAGACAGGGTTTCTCTGTGTATCCCTAGCTGTCCTCTGTAGACCAGGCTAGCCCCAAATTCAAGAGATCCACCTGCCCTTGCCTCCTGAGTGCTGGGACTAAAGGATGTGCTATCAATGCCCAGGAACAATAGAAAATTTTTTTGTTTTTGTTCTTCCAGACAAGGTTTCTTTGTGTAACAGAGACTGTCTGACTGTCCTGGAACTAGCTCTGTAGACCAGGCTGGCCTTGAACTCACAGAGATCTGCCTGCCTCTGCCTCCCAAGTGCTAGGATTAAAGGTCACCATGGCCCGGCCAATAGCAAATTTTATATACTTAGAAAACTAAAGTCTAGAAAAGCCTAAGAGTCTTCCTATGAGTAGTTAAATGATCCTATCCTCTCTCATCAGCTTAAAGATAATGATTTGTTCAGTGAGCACATGAATGATGGCTGGAAAAGACAATGCCTGTGTTCTTCACTGAGTGGATTTGAAACAACCAAGAGGAAGGTCCCAGACGGGGTTCTGACAGTAAGTCTCACAATACAGAAATGTTCCTGTGTGGCTGAAAGGAAGGCTCAGCCATTAAGAGCACTCACTATTCTCACAGAGGACCTGGGTTAGGTTCCCAACACCTACATGGTGGCTTATAACTGTAACTGCAATTCCAGGGGATCTGACACCTTCTTCTGGCCTCCTTGGACCGTAGCACTCATGTGGTACACACACACATATATTTCATATCCATGGTGCATATATAAACACTCATATACATAAAAAGAATTTTCAAAGGAGAAGTGTTCACAGGACCTCAACATGATAGTGTTTCCAGAAAAAAAAAAAAAAAAAGCAGTTAACTTACACGGGCCATGGTTTAGAAATCCAACAGTCTTCCTTGAAATGTATTTCTCCGAAGAAGCAGAGTCCACTGAGGCCAGAGCGAGGGGAAGAAAACAAGTCCATGAGATGAGATTGGCCGCAAAAGTCCCCAAATGATCTCTACATCTCGGGCTACAACATCTTACCCAGTCTCCTTCAAAGTTTCAAAAGTGCACCTGGATTCACCAGACACAAGTAAAGAAATTCCTAGGTACCAAGTCCAGCAGCCATGACACTGGCAAACTGTTGCTCAGCCTGCCCACAGCCAAGCCTACTTCCAAAGTGCTCGGTCCTCCTGCAGAGATTACAGGGATGCACCATCATCCCTTGTTTTTGATGAATGTTTTAAACATTACATTGTATCTTCAGGATTGCTACTTAGTATAATATTCTATTCATGCACTAGATCAGAAACCCCACAATAAAAGAAATTAAATCAGGCTTGTACAAATTGAAAGTTGGGAAGTAGCAAAGATACATATGGAACACCTATTCTCACCACAAAGCTGGCTCTCACTCAGTCCTAGCCCTAGCTTATGAAACCGAGAATTCCCTGATCCAGTTTGGCACTCATAATTCACTAGAAAACAGAAATGATATCAAACTACCAGGATATAAAAATCTCACTTTAAGAGTATCAGTGCTCACATTATCAAGAATATGAGGAAGCCGGGGCGGTGGTGGCACACACCTTTAATCCCAGCATTCAGGAGGCAGAGCCAGGTGGATCTCTGTGAGTTCGAGGCCAGCCTGGGTTACAGAGTGAGATCCAGGACAGGCACAAAAACAACACAGAGAAACCCTGTCTTAAAAAAAACCAAAAAAAAAAAAAAAAAAAAAAAAAAAAAGAATACAAGGAAATGGACATTCTAGCCAGTATGCCAAAGATAGAATTTAAAAGTACATATAAGTAGCATTTAATCCATGCAAAACCTTTGACTCAGAAATTCTGCTCTGAGGACTAAAGAAAACAATTATATATAAAATATGGTCATCAAAGATGTACATCAAAGTATGCTGACAGGATGGCTCAGCCGGTAAAGATACTTGCCACCAAGATTGATGATGACCTAAGTTTGATTTCTAGAGCTCACATGGTACAAAGAGAATGACCCCCACATGTTACTGTGTGTCTCATCACGGGTATGGGTTCATGCGGGTCTGTGGAATGAAGACTCAGAGGCATCTTAAGAGTGAATCTTTTTTCCACTGTATAGTTTTGGCTTCTTTGTCAAAAATCAGGTGTTCATATGTGTGTGGATTAATGTCAGGGTCTTCAATTCTATTCCATCTGTCTGTATGTTGATTTTTATGCCAGTACCAAGCTGTTTTTATTAGTATAGCTCTATAGTAGAGCTTGAGGTCAGGTATAGTGATGCCTCCAGAGGTTGCTTTATTATACAGGATTCTTTTAGCTATCCTGGGTCTTTTGTTTTTCCATATGAAGTTGAGTATTGTTCTTTCCAAGTCTGTGAAGAATTGTGTTGGGATTTTGATGGGGATTGCATTGAATCTGTAGATTGTTTTTGGTAAAATTGCCATTTTTACTATGTTAATCCTACCAATCCATGAGCATGGGAGATCCTTCCATTTTCTGATATCTTCTTCAATTTCTTTCTTTAGAGATTTAAAGTTCTTATCAAACAGGTCCTTCACTTGTTTAGTTAGTGTTATCCCAAGGTATTTCATATTATTTGTGGCTATTATAAAGGGTGATGTTTCTCTGACTTCTGGACTATGACTCTTTTAATTCCAGCACTCAGTAGGCAGAGGCAGGCGGATTTCTTATTTAGAGGCCAGCCTGGTCTACAGACTTAAGTTCCAGGACAGCCAGGGCTACACAGAGAAATCCTGTCTTGAAAAACCTAAATAAATAAAATAGCACAGTCATAAAATAAACCTTAGTCTCCTTTGAGAGAGGTTTTAAGTACTAAGCATTGAAAAGTGGATATGTGCATACAGACATATGATATAAGGAGTTAGGTACTGTTTCCAAGAAATAGACATTTAAAAATAACAAATGTTCTCATCTACTAAAAAATAAAAATGCATCTCACAGATCAAAGAGGTAACATTCGCTTCCCTTAACCTTACCTTATAACAGGCAACAGTAGTTTCCTGCTTCTGTTCCTGTGAGGCTTCAAGACTTCAGCAGGATCGGGGTAGGAGAGAATCTTCACATCCCAACTTTCCTTGGAGCCTTGTTCAGCCTGGTTAAATCAAAACACAGAGCACAACCAGTCCTGTCACTACCATCAGTCACTCACACACAGAAGGTAAGCACTGTTTTCCTTTCCTGGTGTCTAAGAAAGGCCAGGGCAGCGGATGGCCAGGGCTGGCATCGCCAGTTTACAATAGCTTTCTAGTTGGACATCACACAGCCTGCCCAGTGTGTGACTGTGTCCTTGCTTGTGTGGTATGCTGGGGGGTATCCCCAAGGAGCCAGCTCTACCATTCTTTCCCCAAGATCCGGAGCTCTTTGCTTTGTTTGCTGGGAGTCTTTTGTGTGGCGCTCAGGTGAATGGCTGGGGACCATTCATCTTTGGGACTGACGTGGTTACACTGCAGCCGACCCTGAGGCCAGAAGCACACACTCCACGGCCTTGGCAATCGAGCTCACACCAGCCGCCCTGCATCCCATTCACTCACACAAATGCCATCACGTTGTGGTCTCCTGGTCGCACTCAGCCGCCGTGCCACCCTGCCACGCCCAGCAGGCACAGCTCGCCTCGGTCGTCCCCACGCAGCCCCCGGGCGCGGTCCCGGTCCCTCCCTGCACCCCCTTACCCCGCTGCCTGTGGAGCCTTCACTACGCCTAGGGGACCAGGACCCGGACACCCAGCTAGCGCCGCTCAGTGGCCCCGCCCCACGCCCAGGTGACGCCAGCTGCGATAGCACCAAGACTAAAGACCGTCACGGACCCCGGAGGGCTTAAAGGGCCGCGCGCGGGGGCTGCTGGGAGGGACAGCCGCACGCACCAGTGCGCAGGCGCTGCCGGAGCAGACGGGGAACCCGCTGGGCACTCACCAAGAGCTTTGTTGGGGGACACGGGACTAGGGGAGAAGCGGGGACCTCAGCTTTACTTAAGTATCTGAGGAAAAGGCTGGTTTTCCTCTGGAAAATTGCGTTATTTGATATAATGATGGGCTTGTTATGGAGATGACTGCAAATGAGCTACATAGTGAATTCCAAGCCAGCCAAGGCTAAACAGTAAGACCTGTTCTCAAATACATAAAGTAAAAGTAATGATTAAATTTTGATTCATTCATCATCTTTAACTGTATTCCTTAATACTATGATCTGCAGAAAGTTAAGCCTTCAATGACTAGAAAGCAGTGACTAGCAGCCTATTATCTCAGGCACAACCCTAAGTGCCATGAATCTTAACTAACTTAATCCTAATGAAATATTGGGGTAGGTGGTATAAGCATTCCTATTGACAGTACCCACTAAAAAACAGAGCTCTAAAACAAGAGGGTCACCGGGTGGTGGTTGCACACACCTTTAATCCCACAATTTGGGGGACAGAGGCAGGCAATCTCTGAGTTCGAGGCCAGTCTGGTTTGCAGAGCAAGTTCCAGCACAGCTAGAATTGTTACACAGAAAAACCCGTCTCAAAAAAACGAACAAAAGCAAACAATAAAAAACAACCAAAACACCCCAAAGGGTCCTAGCTGAGCATCAGCCTGTAACCTCAGCACTCTTAAGTCTGGGCAGGAGCACTGAGTTTGAGGCCTGCCAGAGGTCCAGAGGGAGACCCTGTCTCAACCCACCTGCCCAACAGCTCAGGATGAGCATGATGACTGTCACCTGTAGTCACACCTACTCTGGAGGCAGAGACAGGAAGTCAATGGAGGCCAAGAGTAAAACCAGCCAGGTGACATCGTGGGGCAAGATTAAAAGTACTTGCTGCCAAGCCTGAAGACCCGAGTTCAATCCCCAGGACTCACATACTGGAAGAGAACCAACTCCTACAAGTTTCTCTCAGGCCTCCACACATGTAATGTGCTGTAGCACATACACACATGCATGACATAGATGTAATTAAAAAAAAGAAAAAGAAAACCTCCTGATCTCAGACAAAAACCTTGCCATCTAAGTAAACAACTGATTATGACTACTCTTTGGGAAAACAAAAAGATGTTTCTGTCTTATTTATGTTTAAATCTTCCATAAGGAAAAGTCTTATTTCTACAGTTAATATTCATATTAAGGGCATCTAAGCCACGAGATGGCTCAGTGGAGCTTGCTGTTCATTCCCCGGGAACTGGATGGTGGAAGGAGAGATCAACTCCCCTGTGACCTCCATAGCAAGACTGTTGCACACACAAACTAAAACTGAAAACTACAATGTGGGACCAGGATGGTGGCACATGCCTTTAATCCCTGTGCTCACAATGCCAAGGCAGAGGTAGGCAGATTTCGTGAGTTTGAGGCCAGCCTGGTCTATATAGTAAGTTCTAGTATAGCTGGGGTTATGTAGAAACACCCTGTCTCAAAACAAACAAATAAATAAATAAATAACTGAATTGAAGAGATGGCTCCTTGGTTAAGAACACTGGTTGCTCTTACAGAAAATCTGAGCTCAGTTCTCAGCACTATGTGGTGGCTCATAACCATCCATAGCTACAGTTCCAGAGGACTCAATGCCTTCTTCTTACCTCCCGGGTCACCAGTCAGTGGTGCACACACATACATGAAGACATTCATATACATAAAACCACCACAAAGAAATGCCTAGGGAGAATGCCCACTGGGGGCATGTATTTCAGCATGTATCACAACAAAGTCCCTGAACCCAACAACAAAGTCCACTAGGAGGCACTGTCGGAGCCCACAACTGACTCAGTTTCCCAGTTTGAATCTGAAGTCTATTCTGAGTCAATAGAGTTCAAGCTTGTTTGCTCCAAGGCTGTGAGAAAGTTCTGATTAGCCTGCAGAGTCTCCTTGAAGGACTGTGAGACAGTCCTGATTAGCCCACAAGAAGGAACACACTAGCTAGCTAGATGCAGGCTGCTGATGCCAGCCAGAAGTATATGGAGACAGAATGAAACTGCCTGCTCCTTGACTCAAGGACAGGATAGATAGCAGTTGAATGCCTGTGCTGTGCATTGTTCTACCTCTGACCGGCAGACCTCTTGACTCTTTTCTGTCTTCTTCATTGTCTCTTCAATCCACATGCTTCTATCCAGCTACCCAGCTGACTGTCGGCAGGCCTGACAAGGCACTTAAAGTGATTTTTCAGTTGTACAATGAAACACTGTCAAGGTCAGAGTCCTGTGATTGCTAAGTTTTTTGGTTTTTGTTTTGTTTTGTTTTTCAAGACAGGGTTTCTCTGTGTAGTCCTGGCTGTCCTGGAACTTACTCTGTAGACCAGGCTGGCCTCTGCTTCCCATGTGCCACCATGAAGGGCCACTAACCGTGATTGTCAACTTGAGATTTAGACTCACAAGACATATCTCTGGGAGTCTGGGGGTGAGAGAATAAGATATTTCCACACAGCTTTAACTCAAGTAGGAAGACACACCCTGAACTCAAAATGAGCATGTTCGTGGGGTTGGGAGCTACTGGACAAGGGACACCTGTGGATTCAATACCGAAGAGCACTTGCTATTTTTACAGAGGACCCAGGTTATTCCCAACACCCAGATGGTGGCTCATGATCATCCGTAAGCAAATGTGGTGTATATACACATGCAGGCAAAACACTCGTACACATAAATCTAGAAAAAAAATTCTAAGCAAGCTAAGCACTTGCATTCATCTTTCTGCTTCCCGACTGCAGACTCAACGTGACCAGTAGCTTCATAAACCTTTTGCCATTCCTGTCCTGCGAAAGTGTACCCTCAAACTGTGAACCATATTGAACTCCACAGCAGGATAGAAAGATAGGGAACCTCAGTGGCCCAGGAGAAAAGGCTTGGAGACCTCATGCTTTTAATGCCCACATAGGCAGACTTCAGACTCCACTGAGAAGGACCTAACAGCTCATTAAAAATATGTGTTTTCCAAAAGACAACTTGTCAAAGTCAGCAAGTGAACTATTTTCAGGACAAGAGACGGCTCAGCGCTTGAGAGCACTGGCTACTCTAATAGTGGACCTGGGTTCTGTTCTCAGCACCCACACGATGGCTCACAACCATTTGGAAACTCTTGTTTCAGGGGTTGCAATCTTTCTTCAGACCTCAAGGACACCAGGCACATAGCTGGTACATGTACACATGTGCAGGCAAAACACCCAGGCACATGAAATGAAACAACCTAACAAAACTCTACAAATAAATTGCTAAATTGCTCTGCCTGTGCCAGCTGACACTTTTCCAGCAGCCATCTCCATCAAGGATGTCAACAGCGATTAGGCTGTGCTCACTTGGGCTTTAAAGGACGTATAACCTTATGTTCCCGGCACGATCTCTTCTGTATCTAAGTGATTCTCCTTGTAAACCACCATACAACTTCATTTACTGAGAAAAGTTCTTTTAACTTTATCTTTTGTTTTTTTGAGATAGGGTTTCTCTGTGTAACAGTTCTGGCTGTCCTGGAACTCACTCTGTAGACCAGGCTGGCCTCCAACTCTGAGATCTACCTGCTTCAGCCTCCTGAGTTGCTGGGATTAAAGGTGTGGACAATCATGCCGTCTATAAAATTCTTTAACTCTAACCTTGTTACAAATGACACTTTGGGGGCAATGTTAGAAAAGAGCTGCTTTCTTAGTCTTTTCAGCTGTAACTTGAAAGCCATCAAGGTCCCATAAGTACTCACTGTAAGAACCTGTGACTCTCCCCTAGACACCCACATTCCTCCTATCAGGCCCATTTTCCCCTTTCTCTCTTAGAGCATTCATTTCTATTTGTAATCAATCCAACTCTGCTTCATATCTGGCTCCCTCTGAAGTTCCTGTGATGCCATGACTCGCAGTCTGGCCTGGGGGAGGTCTCTGAAGGGACCCTCACAATGTATGCTAATGGATGTATGCTGATGGATGTCTGCTGATGTGGGGCTGTGTTCCAACCGTAGTGACAAACCCTTCAAGCTGCTTTTCTAAGGTGTTTGGTCATGTAGCTCCCATTTGCCATGCTGAAGGTTGTTCACGAGCATGTTTACAAGAGCGTGCTTTATAAAAAGCCAAAGGAAAAAACCATCTTTAAAGTTAAAAATGGCACTTTCATTAACTTTAAAAATTAAGGTATTTTGAAACTATGTTAACAGAAAAACATTATAGCCATGTAAAGTCAAAATGGATTAAAATGTTAATGTAACAATTATATTAAAAAAAACCTAAGGAAACAAGGAAAACTGTAAGATTACATTCCTACATGAATTCTGATGTTTAAGATCAAAGTATTGTTTTCAATAATGTGCAGACTGAACAATCTGGGTCAATAAAAATAGGAACAGTTTCCAGAATATACTATATTCATAGGTTATCTCTCCAATATGAATTCTCTTCAGATGAACAAGCTGTCATCAACAAGTAAACTGTTTCTACATTCTTCAGTCTAGAGGGATTTTAAAGGTAGATTCTCTGATTGTTTTGAGTCTTCACATACATCTTGTATGTTTTTATTTATCACCAATATAAGTTTTGATGCTGAATAAGTTGTGAGTCATAGTTGAAGTTCTTTCCACAGTCCTCATATTTATAGGCTTTCTTACCAGCATGAATCCTGTGATGACTGATGAGTTGTGAGCTCTGAGAATAGGCTTTCCCACAAATCTTACATTCATAGGGTTTCTCTCCAGTATGAATTCTCTGATGTCTAGTGAGGTCAGAGCCAGACCGGAAAGCCTTTTCACATTCCTTACATTCATAGGGTTTCTCACCAGTATGTATTCTTTGATGTTTAATGAGCTGTGAACTCTGACTAAAGGCATTGCCACATTCCTTACATTCATACGGTTTCTCTCCAGTGTGAATTCTCTGATGCTGAGTAAAATTTGAACCACTACTAAAAGCCTTCCCACATTCTTTGCATTCATAAGGCTTCTCACCAGTGTGAATTCTCTGATGGCGAGTAAAATTTGAACCACTGCTAAAGGCTTTCCCACAGTCCTTACATTCATAGGGTTTCTCACCTGTGTGAATTCTGTGATGTCGTGTTAGGTCTGAACCACAAATAAACGTTTTTCCACATTCCTTACATTCAAAGGGTTTCTTTCCAGTGTGAATTTTGTGATGATGAGTAAGTCCTGAGGGGTGTCTAAAGGTCTTGCCACAGTCCTTACATTCATATGGCTTCTCAGTGGTACGAATAATTTGATGGGTAGTAAACTGTGAGCCATGTTTATAGTGTTTCCTATTTTCTTTACTTGCACAATATTTCTCTTTATTCTTAATAATTTGCTGCAGCCTGAAGGATGGATACTGATTGTGAGTGGGCGTGTCTTCACGACTGATTATCAGTTCACTGAATTGTCTCTCCTGAGATCCAGGCTGTCTCAAACACTGGCCATTCCATTCCCAGGCACCTCGGGGACTAGAGCACTGAAGGTCCTGTCTTGTGAGTTTCCTTATTATCTCCCACTGTGCTGACTCTATTTCATAAAGTTCCTTCTTCAAAAACAATTTCTGGGCCTCACATCTTGATTCCAGGACTAAAAGAAAATACACAAGTGATCACTCACATTTTTATTGTTTGGGAGACATGGAAATTAAACTAGAATA